CACCACTTGTTAGTGGTTTTTTTTTGTTGGGACTCTTTTCTCGGGAACTTTCCATGAAAGCCTGAGAATGGTGTGGCACCATCAGAGTTCGGAACATGACACAGCCAAACACCAATCATCATGACTTCTATGTGCGCATTGTGTGCCCGAGTCCCTCATGCAGGTCATCCCAGGCTGCTGCTGGCTGGCTCGCTGCAAGTTGCTGGCTACTGCGAGTTGCTAGGTACTCAGTCTTCCTGCAGACCAAGCAAATCAACCAGTCAAAAGTATCCGTCCAAACTTCACCGCTGGTGTGTGTCTCTGAGCGAGTTTAGTGCTCCGGCTTCTGCGTTTCTTCCTATACTGCTGCATGTCCTCGAACATTTGTTAGCCCTTCCCCGCCTCCCGTGCCGTACTGCCCTGCCCACCCCCAGTCACTGGCTGGCATTGCTGTGCTTTGCTGCGGCCCAGTCATCTCGTCGCTGCTGCGCTCGACTGTGCCTTTGCAAGCGGAAGGCCGAGCCCGAGCGAGCGAACAGCGCAGCGGCAGAGCAGCACCCCAGCGATGGAGCGAGAGCGAACCAGAAACACCACGCAAGTCAGTCCTCGTAGGGATCCCCTCCAGGTCCCCAACCCCGGGCCCATTACCCGCCGTGCACAGGAAATCCAAGAGGCGGAACGACGGTTACGTGTTTCCAGTTGCGGCAAAACAAGAAGAGCCAAAAAAGCATAGGCCAGTGGCCACTCTTCTTCTGACTGCAACCTGCTCTAAATACCGTGTCCCATCCCACCCCTCCCCTTCTTGGCTCCATTCCCGCGGTTAGTTCCAGTACGTTACTTGGCTGTGTTCCCTTCACTGTTGAGGAACAAAAGTACGCCCAGAGGCGGAATACTAGAGCGGAGTCTCGCTTTCTCATTTGCTCATAATTGCTGCTGCTCTCGTCTGGTTCCTGACCTTGCCGTTCCGGTCTCATTAACTGGTCTCGTCTTATTCGGGAGGGTATTCGTAATTGCCCAAGACGCTAAAGGATCAAACGGCAACACTCATCACCGAACTGCCTCCAGCAAAGAAACCCCGACGGCGTCTCGCCCTGTTCTATTTTCCTCTCACCTTTTTTACTTCTCCAAAGTTCAAACTTCTTTGTTCCTTCCTATCTATTACCCAGAATTCCAATTGTTCTGCAGCAGACTTCTTGCTACCTACCCACAACAAAGGGAGCAGCCTCTCTCGGTTCATCTGCCCAACGTTCTACTATTTGCTCCCCGGCTTCTACCCGTCTTAATTACCGCCACCCCCCGACGCTATTCCATTGAATACAGGCCCCAAAAATCTCCCCGCTGCGACCGTAACCTGACCTCCCACCACTTTATTACCGTCGATCTTTCTACCATCGCTTCCCCCCACAATAAACTAAGATCGCATCGTCGCGCAGAGCCTCACACAATGAACAACACGCCACGAAGCCCGTCGACCAAGAGCCAGGCTAGTCTTCGGGACACTGGCTTCCCTGAGCCTTTCAACGGAGGTGAATTCTATGAATGATGGACAAAATTTGTGTTTCATTTACTAATAAACGGCAGAACGCAACACTACACTCCCGCATCCCGACGCCAATCTCTCGCCCAACGCAGTCATCTCGCAGGAGGATCTCGCTGGAAACAGAGCCCGCACACGACGTTCATTCCTGCAAAAGCACAGGCGCACCATCAGCCATGGACGCATCACCCCTCAAATGGAGGCACTCTACAGCAGCGAAGCTCTGGCCGAAGCCGAAGCCGCCATCCTCGACGCAGATGTTCCGTCCAACACGAGCCAGTCTAGTTTGCCGGCTGCGGGACGCATCAGTAGAGACGATGCCGAGAGCATGCTTTCTCACAGCGGCGGCGATCTGTCGCCCGTGACCTCGGCTCGGAGCAACGGACGCAAAGTCAGCCTGTTTAGAAAGCTCGGCTGGTCAAAGCCGTAAAGCCACAACTTCTCCGTTACGAAAGTGAGGAACTACGACACTAGGCGGCGAACTATCGACCCGATGTACCGCGCACACGATTAAACGGCCGAAAAGAATTTGTAAAACAGACACACCACAGCGCAAGCGCGGAGTTTTCTTTTTGACTCGCAGCACGGAGGTTTGGCACAACCGAGGCGGGCTAGGGATTTTGATTTTGGAAATGGAATTGGGATCAGGAGTATTGGGGTGGCACAACATTAGGCCATCATTATGGAGGATACTGGTTCTCTAACTTATCATCACCTTTAAGGACGATCCTGATAGATGAAATACGCATCACGAGGGACAATAACTGAAAGTGATGAACAGCCTATCGTTAAATGGCAGTCATAGTAATTCTATCGATTAGTCGCAAATTTCTTTCACTATGAGATTGGTCTCTTTTTCTCTGTCTTTCAACGTGATTGTCAATTCCTCTAGGTGACATTGATTCTTTTCGAACTCGAGCTACCCTGGCCCTTGAGGCACCCCCCAAGGAAAAGTCAGGAACTCATGATATCACAAGCCAGACCCTCATACCAGAGGTTTCCTCATACCAGAGACCATCAATTACATAGGTCCCTCTTCCCGATTATCTATCCACATGGAACCATCCCACTCAAGGCCTCAACTCACCTCAGCTACCCTCATCTCCCATCATGACTTCAACATCCGAGCTTTAGCTACCCCGGTACGTGGTATAGCTATACGGGCTCAACAGCAACGGAACATGATAATGCTGACCCCGTTTGACGGTGAATACCACCACGGCCTCTGGGAAAAAAGTCTCGTCCTCGCCGCCAAAGTAGGTCGCCGTGTCAAACGTTAGCGTCCAACGGGACGAAGTCACGGAGGAGGTGGCCTCGATCTCGCCGAGGACGTCGTCGAGGGTGTAGACGGGGACCTCGCCCGACGACGTGGCGGAGGAGAAGGGGAGCCAGGACTTGACGCGGCCGTCTTCGTCTGTGGTGGATTCGAATTCCTTGAGGATGCCGGGTGGTGCTGGGGCGCCGGGGGATGCGGTGCCGGCGGTGACGGTGGAGGAGGAGGAAGAGTGAGGGGAGGGGATTGTGGTGGAGAGTTGGACGCGGACGTTGCGGGCTGGTTTTCCGGCTGATGTGTCTAGGACGTGGCAGGTTATGCGGTCTTTTGTCGTGGCCATTTTGGGTGGTGAGGATGGGGTTGTGGTGGTGGTGGTGCTTGTGGTGGTGCTTTGAAGGTCTAGGTTGATTTTGCTTCGCAGGGGCATGGGGAAGGCAAAGATGTGTTTTTTTCCGCCCCTGGTAGAGGTTTGGGCTGAGTTGGGGTGAGTTGAGTGAATGTGAGCGTCGGGTGGGTGGGTGGTGAGAGGTCGAATGAGGTGGGATGAGGTGTGAAGTGAGGCTCACGCTGGATGGCGGGGTAATTCGCCTGGCTGCCTATGTGCGTGTAAGGCGGAATTGCTTGGCTTCCTGCCTGGTTGATGTGGGGCTGTTGCTTTTCTGAGGTAGATATCCTTGGTGTGGCCGCCTTGAAGAAGTACTGGCTTACAGTTGCTGATTCCCAAAAGGAAAAGGTGCAAAATAATTCTGAATATAGATGTAGACCTTGGCGAGGGTTAAAGACGATTTTTGTTCAGTGATATGAGTAGAAAAGAGTATGTAGCCTTTTTTTTTTTTTTCGGGGGACCGAAGTCGGTGCCGGACGGGGGCATCGCAAGGCGCCGTGATGCGATGACGGGGAGAGTAATGGGGACCCATGAATATCATGGTACGGACACGGAGATGGCCCGCCGAGGGGTTTTGGGGGGTTCCTGAGAGAATGGGTCGGCTTGAACAGTAGGTCCCTTGAACTAAAATTGCCTATGGGGAAATCCAGAAAACAGATGTTAAAAGCTCATTCACAATCTTGCACGATCTGATATGGCAGCACATGTCACCAGCGATGCTTAGTATCCTTAGAGGACGAGTATGATTTGTTCCGTCAAATTGAGAGCCTAAGGACTACGCAGGTGAACATGCTGCGCTTCGAAGTGATGGGTACAGCAACTTACACAAGGTGCATTCCACTTGTCGTATGAACGAACTGATGGAAGATACCATTGATTTCCAGCAACGCATCCGTGAGATGGTGGGAGGATGGAGGGCCACAGACAAACCCTCCGGCACATGCCGGGGGAAACAGAACGGGAGGCCCCGGCGGGTGGACATGCTGGAGGCTGGAGTCAGCACCGGAGTTCACTAGGTCTGGGCTTCTGTCACCATACCACAGAAAGCCACGCCCGCCAAATGATGAGCTACGTCATTTGGACCGTGCACACCTCACGATACCAACCGCGCTTATCGCAGGAACCTTGTTTGATCAAGACCAATCAGAGACTTTGTAATTGACGGCAGACCATGATGACGAGCGAAAAGACCTCTTGGTCTCTCAGAGTTTGGTTGAAATACCAAGACGCCAACAACGAGCCAAGAGGAGGCCAAGGAGGCCAACGAGGCCAAGGAAAAGCCAGGAGAGGGCCAGTCCGTTTGGTAAAAGTCGGCATACTCTTTTCCACCTACTAGACTAAAGAATGAGTAAAGTCAATGGCTCTGGAATCTTTTTATTTTGAGTTTTATACCAATGCGACGGTTCGGATACCAAGCGTCCAAGACGCGCCTAGACCACTGACGGTTTTCACAACTGAGTCCTACATAGGAACGATTCCATTTCGAGGCTTCTGGAATGAAGGTCACTGCATCGCCCAACCATGGTGTATTCTATCGTAAGCCTCGTGAAATTGTGCTTTGGTTCAGTCACAAGTCACCGGCGGAAAGAGCTTGCAAGATGGATCTCAACTCGAGCATCGAGACGCAAGCACTAATGGTAGTATTCAATTTGAATTTGGAATGGAACACCTCGTTTTCTTGGTGTTTCTATGCTATGTACCTAATCCACATCTACTCATTCGTGCCAAAAACACCAAGAAGCTTGGCTCGTCCCGGCTGACGTACGGCAACGCGATCCACCACTACGCTCTCACATTGGCACATGAAAAGGGGAAATCACCGCCAAGCAGAGCCAAGTGTAGGATGAGCGCAACACGCATCTTAGCCCGTTTTCATAGCCCAACTCCAAGAAAAGCCCTCTTAGCATTGCATCCAGATAGAGATATAGACACCATGGACGTCCGCAATTTACTCTCGGCTCCCCGTCCTGTTCTCTCTTCATATCTACATCCACATTCCTCTCTCCCCCTCAGTGGCGACGATGAGATAAAGTAGGACGCACACAGACAGACACAAGCAGACGTTACTCCGAGAGAGGGAAAAAATCAACCTGCAAAGAACAAAGGCCTTCATGGCTACCCCAACAAACCACCCCGTCACGAACCCCGAAGAGGGCGTCACATACCTCACCGAAGACGAAATCACCTCCTTCCTCGACGATCTAGACCACAACGACGACGGCTACATCGACTACGCCGAAGTCGAAGCCAAACTCGACGCCGCCCACGACGAGCTCACACCCGCCGGCAAAGTAAAACCTCACCACGTCATCAGTCGCCAGAAACAGTCGTCTCCTTCTTCGTCCCCCTCTGATACCACTTCTCCAGAGAAGCAGACCCAGCCTTCCTCCTCCTCCTCCTCCTCCTCCCCATCGTCCTCAAAAGACGAAAACCGCCTCCGCCATGAATTCCTCCGCTCCATAATGGCCCTCCCCGGCTCCGAACCAGGCACATCCTCCAACCCCACCGCGGACGCCGACGCCCGTACCCACCGCATCCCCCGCGCCGCCTTCGCCGCCCGCGTCCGCGCCTGGAAGATCCCCTCCCTCCAACAAGACGCAGACTCTGAAAAGTCCCAGCGGTCCTTCATCCAACACCTCCGCCTCTCGCGCCGCCTCCGAGCCTACTGGGCCGTCCACGGCCCCGAAATCGCCTTCCTCGCCCTCGTCGCCTCCTCCCTTGTTGCGTTCGGCGTCTGGCAATGCGTCAAATACGCCACCACCACCCAGTACCGCGACGCCTTTGGCTGGGGCGTGGTCATGGCCAAGACGTGCGCCGGCATGCTCTACCCGACCTTCTTCTTCCTCATCCTCAGCATGTCGCGCTACGTCTCCACCATGCTCCGCCGCTCCTACCGCGTCTCCCGCTTCGTCAACTGGGACCTCAGCCAGGCCTTCCACATCAAGATTTCGTGTCTCGCGCTGGCGCTCGCGACGCTACATGCCATTGGCCACCTCACGGGCTCCTTCTACCACGGAAGCCGCCCCGCAAACCAGGACGCCGTCGCCGTGGTGCTGGGCCCGGACGCGGTACCGAGGCCGTACGTGGAATACGTCCGCTCCCTACCCGGCTTCACAGGCCTCACGGCACTAGGCCTCTTCTACCTCCTCGCACTGCTCAGCATGCCAGCCGTGCGACGATGGAACTACGAGGTCTTCCAGCTCGCGCATCTGCTAATGTACCCCATCATCGGCCTCATGATGGCCCACGGCACCGCGGCGCTGCTGCAGTGGCCCATGTTCGGCTACTTCCTCGCCGTCCCGACGCTGCTGATCCTCGTCGAGCGCGTCGTCCGCGTCGGGACGGGCTTCCACAAGATACGAGCGACGCTCACGGTGCTCGACGGCGAGACGGTCGAGGTTGCGGCCACGATCCCCAGCGAGCGCATGTGGAAGTACAGGGCCGGGCAGTACGTGTTCCTGCAGGTGCCTGCCATCAGCGCTTTCCAGTGGCATCCTTTTACCGTCTCTATATGCAAGGGCCGTGAGTTCCGGTTACATATCAAGACGGACGGGAACTGGACGAAACGGCTGCGTGATCTGGGCGGAAAGGGGGAAGGGGCTGCTGCAGCAACGGAGATTGATGTGGGCATCAACGGGCCCTTTGGTGCGCCGGCCCAGCGGTTCTACGACTTCAACCAATCCATTATCGTAGGTTCCGGAATCGGCGTCACGCCCTTTTCGGGTATCCTCGCGGACTTGCAGGCGCGCGATGACGAGGAGCACGGGGGACCGACGCACTCGCATCAGCACCGCACTCATCAACACCGCCACGACTCGGAGACGACCGTCGTCACGGAGAAGAAAGAGGTCAACGGACGTAAGGACTCGGAATCGACAATGGCAACCGCGGCAGCGACAGAGGCCCCGGACGGCAACGACCCAACGAAACCCCCAAACCCGTCAGAAGCCTTCACCTTCGCGCCCGACTACCGCCGCGTAGACTTCCACTGGACAGTCCGCGACCGCAACTACCTCCTCTGGATCACCGACCTCCTCAACTCGGTCTCGCGAAGCCAGGACTGGCACCGCCGCCACGAGGGCCCCTCCCAGCACCTCGACATCCGCATCGCGACGCACGTCACCCAGAAACGCAGGGACATTGTCACGCACGTGTACCGCTGGCTCCTTGAGATGCACCGCACCGAGGAGCACCCAGAGAGCCCGCTTACAGGTCTACTGAACCCAACGCATTTTGGCCGGCCCGACTTTGATGCCATTCTAGACAGGCACTATGAGGATATGCGGAGGTTTCGCGCCAGCAAAAGAATGAAGGCGAATGCCGGCAGCGGGGCGGCCGTAGCCGACAGCATAGACGCAGGGAAGGGAACAGACAGAACCACCCGCAGCGAAAATAGGGACGCTAGAGCCGACGGCCGCGGTAGTACCCGAGGCGCTAGCGGCGAGCGGCGGGACGTGGAGGAGGAGGATGAGGAGCTAAAGGTCGGAGTCTTTTACTGCGGAGCGCCGGTGGTCGGGGAGATCCTGGCAGACAAGTGCCGGCAGCTCACTGTGCGGGGGCGGCACGACGGCAGCAAGATTGAGTATCACTTCATGATTGAAGTCTTTGGGTAATGGATTATTTTTTTCTGCTCCCAGCGCTCTGTAGCTTTCCCCGATAGCTTGGCCCTTGCGGAATGGTTGGATGAGCAGCAACTAGTGATAGTTCGTCGGCTCGCGCTGGCGGGCGCCGGTGTTAGCCAGTGGTCTGAGTTGGTTCTGAGTAAGACCAAACACAAAATAATGAGAAGAACCATCGAGGCACAGAACAGCAACCGCAAGGGAACCGCTCGTAAGTTCGGGATTTTCCTAGAGATCACCACGTTTCCTGTCTCCCCGACAGGCTGACGTGGATTGGCGACGAATCCTATTCAGGCAGGCCACGAGTTAATTGTATGGGACAAACTGCGTTCCCAGTCCCACTACAATGCCTTTCTGTCGTCGTCGTCGTAGTTTTCGTCCAGAAAGTGCACACGCGCGCGCGCGGCCGTCGGAACTCTCGCCTTGCGTGAACGAGGGTATCGAGTCGGGTTCAGGACCGTCTCAACAGACGGACGCGCACCATCGTCTAGGTATCTGTCGTAGGAAAACCTCGTAGCAACCTGCACAGGGAAAGGAAAAAAAAGTTGTCTCCCCGCGTCGGGCTCCTTTCTCCTCTCCCTCTCTCTGTCTCTTTCTCTCCAACCATTATCCCTCGTTGTAAGTCCAGGTCGGCCTTTTTTGCCGATGGGTCCATGAACCTGGACGTTCTCTCTCTTTCCCGCACCGCAAAGTGTTTCTGGTTGGCCATTTTTATTTCTCCGACGAGAGTCCCTGGACAAGGGTCCCAGGGTTCTGATGCCCAGTCGTCTCTGCGGTGAGGTGTATGTTGCGCGACTCGCTGGTCCTCCGGTTCCCACTTGACACACGTCTTGTCTTGGTCTCGCCTTTACGCGCCAGACCTCCCCTACCCTCCTCTCCATCCTCGGCCTTTTACCCCACTCTACCATGGTCTAAATCCGACCATTGTGTGTGAGTGTGTGCCTGGTTTTCGATGCAGTGTTACATTGTCAGTGTTGGACCTTTTTTCCCCCTAGGGCCTAGTGTGCCAAGGGATATGGGGGAGGGGGGGCCAACTCTGACAGGCAGAGGAGACAACGTGAAGGAGGCCAGGAGCCAAGAAGAAACGTTGCGGGGACGTCGATCACGGGCATCAGTAACTGCAGCATGCAGCAGACGGAAGCACGCTCAAGCTTTCGACAGAAAAAAAGCCCTGCAGATTCCACAATGGAGAGGAAAATCTGGCCATTCTTGGCTTTTCCTCCGTATGCCAGACGCCATGTGCCAGAACGGTACCCATGTCGCCGACACGGTCGCGAGCAACGGTAACAGATGCCGCTGCCACTCTTCCCGTCGCCACTACTGCAGGCGAACGGCATGAGAGACTGTGAGAAGGGGCCAAGGACGACGAATGGATGACACACAGAGTTTTCCAGACGACAACAGACCCCGCCGGGACGCTCGAGATGAAATTTTGAGAACAAGCCAACCGTTGCTTGGTCCGGCGACGAGATGACGAGGCCACAAGATGACGAAGCTCGTTGGAAGCCCGCCGTCTAGTCCATTCTCGCCCAAAGATCGTCTGCGGCCGCAAAGGTCCCCTTTTCGACGCTCCGGCCAAGCCAAAGAACACTAGAGTTGAGGAGAAAGGAAGACACCGGACCAAAGGGTTCGTATATACGAGGCGACCTTTCCACACAGTATTCTATTCGATAAGGTGTGAATCGCAGGTTGAGCCATCAAGATATCAACTCGAGACTCCAAGACACGGTACTGCATTGAGCCGCAATCGCCAAGATGTCTTTGCTGATCTACACTGGGCTAGTCAGTTGATCTGGAATGGTGCGAGAATGACTTGGTAGCGTAGGCGGGATGTGCGTTTGGATCTGCTTGCTGTGTTACATCGCGCTTTCGTTCTCTTGGCACACCTGATTGACATTCTGCTGCCAGAGCTTGGTCTCTGCAAGGTTTTGGATTGGGATATAGGCTCGTAGGCTCGCAGGGCCCGTAGTCCAAAAATGGACTCTTTGGTTTCTGGGGCTGTTGTTGAGTGGTTGGCATCGTACGGCGGCGGATTCCCTACCTCTCGCCTCCACCCCCATCCCTCCCCCTAACCCAACCGAACCGACCACTCACAGTACACACGTAGACACAAAATGGTCCTAATCTTGGGGCGACACCATGAGGCCGAGACGACTCAGAGCAGGCTGACCCTGCTTTTCTCCATGGTTTGGTAGCGCTGTCGATCGATCAGCAGTGTTTCGTCGCGTCCGGGCTGGGGTGTCTGAAACGGACAATGCGTGGGCGCTGGGATGGACGTTGGAGAGAGAGGGGCCTGCCAAAACATGCCGTTTGAGCCGCATCTGAGGCACTAAAAGTGCTGGCGGGGGAGGATATCGTAGCAATGGCGGCATCTACATGCCGCATCCTCCATGTGCCGTGGGCAATTCTTCTGGTGGTCGAAAACGTCGTTCATGGGAAAAGAGTCCGTGATGTTTCTTCTTTCGCCCATTAGCGCCCTCCCACTTTCCGAGGAGGGGGGGACACGTCAGGTTTATAGCGTGTAACAACTGTGAATGTCAATGATCACAGATTTTGTAACACATGACTGAGGCTCAAACCAGGGCAATCTGGCCTGTCGACGGCAGGCTTTGCCGCGGGAGTCAAACAGAAGAATACGCCAGAGAAACGGCGCTCGAGCCATGACCACCAACTAGCAATACCACGCCGAGGGATATCCGGGTCAGCAAGCAGGACATTTGACATTTGGGTTTTTGCTTGCTTTCGCCATCCCATTCGGGACCATGCGCTTACTGTAGAAAGAGTAGAGAGCGAAAGAGAGCGAAACCGGGTGTGAGTGGGCACAGCCGGCCAGGCACTGCGTAGCGGAAGAGGGGGTTGAGACATGCCATCTGAAGGACGATTCGTTGGACGGGCGAGCGACTACTCTGGTGTCCAGAGTGCGTTTGGTATGTCGGTTTCGTGCGAGTGCCGTAAAAGAGAGGGGACGCTGGAGATGGGATGAATATCCACGGACGGTTGCGAGCCGGCAGGGGTCGGTGGATGGGAGTCCGCGAGGGGTGTAGGAGAGGGTTTGGTATAAGACTTGGCCACGTCTTCCCCAAAAGCCTCCTCCCAACGGTCCTGTCACCTGCGGTCATCTCATCCTCCCGATCCCTTCACTTCTTCACACTCGCCTTTCTTTTATTGCGGCCGGACCGCCTTTTTTTAAATACCCAAAGCGAATAACCGTTCCACTCCATCAGCCGTCAATATGCAGCTTTCATTCCTCCTCGTTCCCCTTCTGTCCATCACGGCCTTGGCCAAGGATCACAATGGCGGTGGCGGCAAGAACTCGACAGAGGCCCAGTGCAAGCGCTTCCTGAAGGGTGAGAAGTTGGTCAAGATCGCCGGCAACGACACTCTCCTCGCCGAGATCACCAACAACAACGCAACAAAGATCGACTTCATCAAGAAGAAGGCAGCCGAGGTCCAGCCCAAGCTCGACGAGGCCAAGAAGAACTCCACCTTGATGACGACTTGCGACCAGGTTCGCGCTGTTCAGCAGGAGAACGGACAGTGCCGCTTCATGAAGCGCATGGACAAGTTGGAGAAGCTGGTTGCCAACGAGACTGCCCTGAACGCTGTCACCAAGAACAACGCTACAAAGGCCGACAAGCTCAAGGCTTTCGCCCAGAAGGGGCAGGCCAAGCTCACCGACCTGCAGAAGAACACCACTCTCCTCTCCTACTGCTCCATGCAAACCACCAAGGGAGAGTGCAAGCAGATGAACAAGTTGAAGTAAGTGATACCTCGCAGTACGAACCGATGTTCAACGTACTAACCACGCCGGTGCTACAGCAAGCTTGTTGCTCTTTCCAAGAACGACACCGCCCTGAACGATAAGTTCAAGGGCAACACCACCAAGATCGAGAAGTTCAAGGCCAAGGCTGCCAAGCAGGAGGCCAAGCTCAACGCCATGATGAACAACTCAACGCTCATGGGTGTCTGCCAGCAGCTCAAGGCCGGCAAGGGTGGCAAGGGAGGATCCAACAACAGCCAGAACGGTATCGACAGCGGCGCAGCCGGTGTCAGAGCCGCTGGTGCCCTCAGCTTGGCTGCTGTCGTCAGCGTTGTCGTCGGCCTGATGATGTAAATTATCGGATCGGTGTGAGTTGGAACTTGTTTGCGGGGCCTAAACGTGGTCGTCGGTCTCGAGTAACAACGTGGGGGGGGCCGACGCCATTCGCCACGACCTTGATGCATGCGCGCGTCTTGTACAAAACCGCTGTCGATTAGCTGGGGATACATCTTAGTGTTTCACTCATTCGGATGGCTCGACGTAGACCTGACTTGGTCAGTCTGACGTTAGATGGGCTCCAAGCTATGATTTTATTCATATGTAATGAGTGGCTCAAGGGTAATGTGTTGGTAGAGCAAAGAGAAAATTGGAAAGTTACAGTCGTTACCAGGTTGTCGAGTTGTGACCAATGTGTGCTTCGTCTATCCCCAATTCTCAGTAATCGATGCCCAAAGACCCCTGTTTTCTGAGCCAATTTGCCCGATTTCTATGTCAGGCTGTCCATCGCAATTGAGAGGTCGGTGGAGGTTTTCAAAGAGTGAGCAAGTCGGAGATTCGCATGCTCAGGGATGGGGAACCACATGATGGGCATCCTATTAGTCTATGTAATTTCAAAACGCACTGAGTAAACATTAGTATGGTAACTGGAATAGGAATGATCTGATCTTCCTACTTTGCAAAAAGAAACCAGAGGAAATTTGGGAAACAAGTGACTGAGTGCTTAGATTAGCGGCAAAGGAGATGGCGAGTAGCCGTCAAAAGCTTCTGTAAGCGTTTCAGAATTGAGTCTCATAACGCCTCCCCGAATTAGTCTATGCCTCCATGACATTGTTTGATCTACCACACACCTGTGCAATAATTTGGCTCCGTAGAAACAGTCTAAAAGCTTTTGACCCATTCGATTAAAAGAAGAAGAAAACGTCTGTCCTATATGTCGAAGTAGTCGACAGGGACGTCCAGAAGGCCGCTGTCAGTGTCTGTACCGCACGTGACGGCTGCGATTCTCTGCTGCAGCTCATTGTGGAAAGCTGCTTTCTCGGCTGAAGTCCAAGGCGAAATTGATGACCACCGAGTGGAAGCTCTAGCTCGACGTGGCCGGCGACTACCGATCCGGCCGCCCCTTGGTCTGGGGTTGGTTGCTCGGGTCTTCCTGAGATTCGGAATCCTTGGAACATTTTCGTTATGGTTATCCTCCTGTATCTCCGCTCTGAACTTCAGGCTTCTCTGGAAGGTGTGCGCCGTGTTGGAGTTTCCGGAAGGAGACGGACCGGGGGTAGGACAGACATCCTCGTCGTTGATCTCGGCGACGGTAGGGAGCCGAGCGACAGGAGATGCAGTCAGCAGACTCCACGTGGGACTTCGCACACCTGTCGGGAAAGAGTTGTCTACCTCGAAAGATGCGTGCTTGTCGGGAATCTGTCGGTCGATCTCCTTCGCAAGATCAGCCGTTCTGGTCGTTACTTCGCGCGAGGTCTCTCCAGTAGTGTCGTCATCGCTGTGATGAATCAAAGTCTGGATATCATGCGATTGAGATCTCAGGGTTTCAACATAGTCGCTCAGACTTGGAGCAGCCGAGCGAGTAAATTGAGGCAGTGGCGTTACGGGACGGTGTTCTGAATAGGTGCCATGCAGTCGCTCCGTTCCGGTATTTGGCTTTGGCGTCGGTGCCAGGGATCTGCGGAATGGAGAAGCTTCGACGGCGGTACCGACGGATTTTGAGCTTTGGTATGAGCCTATGGATATTGCAGAGGAGAAGGTAGAAGATCTCTGGGACTGCGGCGAGCTTCTCTGGGCTGGTTGAGGTGTAGGGAAGCGACGTTCGCCATCGTCCGAGCCAACTCCGGCGGACATGTTGAATGCGTTGATGGCTGAGATGGTGATACCGAGATTTTTGGAGTACTAATGTGCTAGAAATAGTAGAGATTGCCTGTAGGAAGTCGGAGAATCTCGAGAGGAGAAGCAAAGACGATATGACTGTTGGTAAGTTGGCTCTGGGGGACAATGTGGAGGGAACGGCTGGGAGCGAACGGAAAGGATGGGAAAGAGGGTGAAGAAGGATAACACTTCAAGAACGGAAGGAGTTCCAACTGCGAGACTGCCATCTCAGTCGTTGTTGAAGTGGGAACTGAGCTATCAGATACATAATTTAGGAAGGAGCAGCCGCTTTGAACAACTTCGGGGCCCCTTCCTCGATCTAGAACATCTCAACCGACCACTCTAGCTTCGAGAGAAATTGCCTACATGGAAATATTTGATATAGAGTATGAAGAACTCGAGTTAGGGAATAGGAGATTCTCTTTTGAAAGGTCAGCATTGGAAATCACTCTGATAGTCTTGAGAGCATGTCTTCGCGAGATCCGGTGTCAGAAACCGTAAGAATGTGCTGCCGAGATTTCTCGACCACTGACTGAACCAGAACTTTCGTTAAACACACGAATAGACGAGTAGCTTGTGATAGTCAGCAGTGAACAATGACCAACCTCACCATTGTATGCGTATATCGTACACCTAAAATACTGGAATCTAAAAGGGTAAAATAACCTAATCCCGGCGCCATTCTCCTGTAGAACCGTCATCGTAATTCTCTCCTTCTACGGCAAAGCTCTTGATCGCGCTCGCAGCAGGCCGTTCCGCGGAGCCCTCAACAATCATAGTCTCCACTTTGAGTAACTTGTCGCCCTCGATAATGGGAATCAAAATGCTTTTCCGGTCCTCGTGCTCAAAGAAGGGAGTTCGAAGCACTTCCCAACTCCCATCTTTTATCCCTACAACCCAATTGATGAGCTTCACATTTTTATCGTCCTTCGGTATCCTACTGTCAGCAATTCCTCTGGCTTTTTTATACATTCTCAGTCGTCTGGTATACTGCTTGATGTGCTCCGGCATATCCTCGAGGCATACGGCGTCTACCCGTCCTAACTTGATCCTCTGCTCTTTCTCCCTGGTACGGTAAACCGCAGAGGACCATGCGCCGCCCAGCACGCGCTGCCGCGTCGCGATTTCGTCGGCGGTCCACTTCGACCAAGAAATCTTGCGGTCTTGGTTTGTGATCTTGGGCGCGTGCGGAGGTTCTTTGAATATGTTCCGGAAGTCCTGGATGGCAGCTGTCCGACTGACGCTCACGTACGGAGGGACGTGGAGACCTTGACGTAGGCCGTCGACGAGCATCTCGGCAGCCTGCGGCGTGACAATGTCGAGGAGCTCCTGCGTGCTGCATTTCTCCGGGATCGGGAAGCCTGGCAACGGTGTCTGGGCGAGAATGTCACCATGATCAAAGTTCCTGTGGTCCAGGGTTTGAAGCGTGATGCCTGTGTGAGTGCGCCCTTGCAGGAGCGTATGTTGGAGGGGCGCGGGGCCGCGGAAGCTGAGGGTTTGGTAATGAGAGGCTGTGTGACGAGATGGAGGCAACGTGGATGAACTTACTCTGGAAGGAGTGACGGGTGAACGTTCAATCCTCCATACTTTGCCATCTTGAGTAATCTCGGTGGCACGAAGAGGCCAAAGGAGACGGCAATGATGAGATTGAAATCCTTGGGCGGCTACGCATGTCAGTTTTATGGCACTTGGGTGATGGGAAAAAGGAGACCCATTACCTGCCACTTGGTAAATGTGTCTCTCACGTGAATTGGTAACTTGAGTTGCTGAGCGAGGGTCTTCAACGGAACTATTACCAGTTGTCAGCTCACTTAACATCCAATCTCATCAACCTCACGAGAGTCGAGACAGCGCGCACATACCCTCACGAACATTTTTCATCCCTCTCCCCGATGGCTTGCTCGGCCGAACAACGACTTCCAGCGATTCAATTAGTCTCGGGTTCTTCTTCCTTTCCACGGTTAGCGCGGTCAGCGCCGCGCAGCTGAAGTCGTCTGAGCCGCAGAAGAGGATCCGGAGCGGGTCCGAGACGCGCCCGGCGCCGGTCGTTGCGCCGGAATAGAATCGTGGACCTGGCCGGCACGTCGTTGCAGCTGGCACCCGCGCAAAGGCGGCTGGTCTGAGGGCCAGCCACGTCATGATGTCGAAGGATTGTTCCAGTTATTGAAAAATCATTATAAGTCGTGTGAGGTTTCTCGCTTCAATCGACGCATCTTTCCTTTCTTTTTTTTCGATGGCCTTCGACGTCTGCTGAGCTGCTGAGTAAAAGTGGAGCTCAAACCCGGGTTGGCGCATGACTTTGCTGGTTTAAAGGTTTAGGGTGTACATGCATTTGAACACTTTATGCATTTGGCGGTGTGAACTTCCTTGGGATGTCGGAAGTACTAAAACAATTCCAGGCTGGTGGTTGGAAATGGACCTTGGTGAACGCACAGATAGCCAGAAATAACGAAAGTAAGTAATACATTTTCCAAACTGAGGAAGAGAAAGAATTATTTGACTTGGCTGAAGTTGTAGACTGCAACTTCTGATGGTCCATTCTCATAGGTTTCCATCTCACAACATCAGTTCCATGTTGTATTGCACAGAATAATTTCACCAAGTGCATTTGCAGAGATGCAATGATTCAATATTGGTACTCTAGATTCGTTCCTGCGTCGACTCTCCTACGAAACCGCCCAGTCGCACGCAACGACCCATCTACCATCTTGCAGCTTAATCTCCCATGCAGGTTGCGAGATTGCAACGACGCTGCCTACTATAACAGGAGCCTTCTGTCCTAAGCCTGTCAACTGTCCCTCGCCAGCTAGCATAAGCCGTGCTGCAATCTCCTCTCTTGCATCCCCGTCGCCCATAATCCTGCGTCCCCGGACAAGGTACATCCTGTTTCCATGACAAACTTCGTCAACGGCGATACTCATGACCAGGTCCGCCGGGCGGTCACCGCCTGTCCATCCCTTGACCTCTGCTAGCCATGTCTGCAGCTCTGCTGCGAGCCCCCCGGCGACGTACTTTGCGCCTCGTCGCTGTGGCGAAAAAGCCTCCGGTAGACCTTCTTGCCGAATAACTTCAGATTCAGATACCTTGAAGCGGGGGGCGCGATGAAAGGTCGGCTGAGTCTTGACTGGGTCCCCTGTAGTGCGCTGAGGCATGGCCAAGTCGTCGTCCATATCGGGTGTGCCCCTGTCGAGTGGAAACTCATTGTCGGCATCTAGCAGCTGCTCGTCCCCAGATTCACTTTCTCCGGGAAGAGGTTCTTCCTCTTGATATCCCATGGCCACATCTTCTTTGGGCTCCTCATGCCAGCTCAAAGCTGGCGAGACCGAAATCCTTCTTCTCTTTGGTGTTCTCTCCTCCGTCTCGCTGTATGGAACACTAGGCGGCTCTGACTCGATCTCAATCGAATCGTTCACCGCGACAATCATCGGCGGAAGTTCATCCTGGTCTTCCTCCGAAGGCAAATCGCTGCCGACATCAGAGTCGATGTCAATCCTATGATTCTGCCTCTGCGTCCCAGCCCCTAGCGTTGGTCGTGTCGCCGAGACGGGCGCGTCTGTCGGGGAACTATCCAGAGCATCGTGGATCGGGTCTCGATGTCTCGACGGCCGGAGCGAACCAGGGAAGACGGGCGTTGCGGGAGGTCGCTGGGTCGACGACGGAGGGGCGAATCGGGCCGTGGGTTGAAAGCGCTGGCTGCCGGCGAAGACGGGTGGGCCGCTTCCTGGTGTGTGCTGCTGCGACGCCGGAGGTCTTTTTGAAAGCAGAAATCGACGAGGTGTTGGTGTCTGCAAATGAGAAGGTTAGTGACGAGAGATCGCGACGAAGGTGTTGGAGGACTGACTGATGGCGGTGGTTGCGTCATTGGGGTCAGCCAAATGGACCACGTCTTCGTCTTGGATATCCAGAGGCGAGAAGAGGCGCGGTCATCGCGTAGGTCTTCTCCCTAGAGATGTGTATTTTCAAGCGAGTTAGGCAGGAGTCTCGACGCTGATTGAGTTGATGTGTACTCCGTCGGCACAAGCTGGCGATGGACGGTCGCGTTAGGCGCAAGGAGTCGCGTTGAGCACTGCAGGCGTCATCGCCGAACATGGTAGGTGGGGGTTATTAACATCTCCTACGTGCATAACCCCACTATGCGATCACCTCAACACCTCATCACGACAACTTTTGACAGCTTTTCGATTTTGGAAGATGTACGGAATCGAATGGCTTCAGAAATTGGAATGTTTCAATTTGATGATCAAATTGGGTTACGTTATGGCCTATTCTCGTTAACGGGGCGGGCGTATAGTATTCAGATAGTCGAGGACATGATTATAATACTAAGGACTTCATCCATTAGAGAACGGTTCTGTCTGGTCATACGCAATAATCTATCTTCGAAGTGATCTACTCTCACGTGAGACTTTGACCTAACTATCTTGATTGACGCTTTACAAGTAAGTCAACTCGAAATTCATGTTCCTTCAAATGCAAGTTTCCCGCGATTCGTTTGGTGTAAACCGAAGCCCCGTGCATTTCTGTTGGTGTTTTGCAACAAAGACAGAGGAAGACTTCGAACCAGTATACTGATATGCATGATGTTTAGCTAAAGAACTAAGGTAGATATGCGGAACGCTTCGTTACCCAACAATGTCAAGCTGTCAATTTGGTCAGCTCAGATTTCACAAGACACATTTCCCGACCGATCGGATGACAGCCCCCTCCCGACTTCACTGCGATTTTAACTCTATCAGAAGCAATCTAGGTACTACGGAAACTCCGCCATAACCAACTTGAAATAAAGAGACAAATACTTCATCCTAAACTTCGACATCAATCGAATCCTCTTGCGTAAGTAGCAACATTCCATGAATAATACATCACCGGAATGTCTCACGCCGGCCAGGATCCAACTGCCGACCCAACATCAAATGCCCAGCGGGAACAAGGACAAGCCCACCTACAGATACGATCAAACGCTCCCCATATCAATCCGATACCAACGCAGATCGCATACCACAACCGCACGTCGCAAGCCGCGCGCATGGCCAAGATGCGAGGAACATTCAGAACCCGTACGCGGCACGCAAGTATCCTGCCAGCCTACCAAACCTTGCCTTGCCTTATCCCATCACTGCAACACAAGAAGTTGACGTGGCTCGGGGCGCCGGCTGCCCGCAGCACGGCAGCTGTAAGTCCTGTATCACGACATGGCATGTATCGGAGAATATCTGTATCATAATCTATACTCACACGCCCCTCCTTTATGGCATGAGAGGGCTGCGGTGTAACGGAATGGGCTGGCCGTATCCGCCACAGATTCACATTCACCCGAAGCCGCTTCACATTAGATAGATGTCCATCCTACCAGCACAGAGCACGATCTGCCCAGTTCGAACGTCGATTACGAAGTGACCTATCATTATGTAGTATGAACAGCTAGCTACTCAAGTCTTCTTCCGCGCATCCCACCTCCTAACAATATCCCCCACAAGATCCCGCCCACTCTCAACCCCTTCAATCCTCAACCCCTCCGCCTCAACCCTGCCTTGCCGAATCCTCGCCTCGGCAACAACATCTCCCACAGGCCTCTCCCCCATAGCCCTCGCACAAGAAAGCTCCAGCTGCCGAAGCGTGATACCAAGCCCTCCAACCAGGACATTGACCAGCGCCAGAAGAACCCTCAGAAGCGCAAGCGGCACCTCGAGGACCACCCTCGGCAAGCTTCTTCTTCTCTCGCTTCCCTCCTTTCTTCTCATCGCTAGGAAGTGCGCCGGCTGCGTCACAGCTGAAGCGAGCTCGACAAAGGGCGCGGATAAGAGGAAGAGGAGCATCCGCGGGTAGGAATAGAGCCGCGGGTTACTCGCGTAGAGCTTTGGCTCGAAAGGCGAGGCGAGTTCGTAGAGGATGAAGTCGAGTAGGTTGAAGAGACCAAACGCCACGGCGGCTAGAATCGTGAAGGGAGCTTTAGATACCAATAGTCAGTCAAAATCTCATCCACAAGAGTGATAAAAGATCGCAATCACGGGAATCACGGGGAAGGCAGCAGAACTCACCTCTCAAAACATGAAGCCCCAACCTCCCCCATCTGCCCGTCCTCCCATCCGCAGCAATATTCCCAAACGCCTTTTGCACCCCGAGAATCAACCCCGTCACCGGATCCCCAGGCCCGGTCAAATCAGGCCACTTGACCACCTCCAACACCCTCAACTCCTCCCTCCTCACCCTCCCACCCTCAACAAGAACATGCGCTGCAACAGCAGACAACTTCCTCTCCCCGCCTCCTCCCTCTGCCCCTGACATCACCCTCCAAACAGCAGGCCGTCCATCATAAACAACACACCTCCCCACCCTCTCATAAACCCCAACCGTCTCAAGCACCCTCTCAACACAAACCTCCTCCCCAGGCCTCTCCCCCTTCACCTTCACCGCAAACCTCTCCGCGGCAGCAGCGTAACCCGGCTTCAAAAGCTCCCTCAGCCCTTCCTCAAACCTCTCGCAATTCATCTCCGCCAAGCCATACTTTGCTTCAGGCCCACATCCGACAGCGTGGATCCTCGTGCCCCAGAAAGGCTGGTCCCCGGCAACAGGCACAACGAGCGTAGGCCGCCCGCTCCGGAGCGCCATGGCCGTCGTCCCGCTTCCCCCGTGACACACCACGGCCCTGACCCGAGGAAATAACCACGCGTGCGGCGCCTCGTCGACGATGAAGATGTGTGACATGTCTCTCTTCCCACCGGCACCATCACCATCACCCCCCTTCCCATCCCGTCCAACCTCCTCCTTGACCAAATTAGACCACCCCTTCCCAACAACAGCCCTGACCCCAACCCTCCTTGTCGCCTCAAATATTCCCTCAAACACGTCCTGCGCATTCGCAAACGACATGCTCCCAAAACCGATATACACCGGAGGCGTCTCCGGATCGGCCTCTAGGAACGCAACCAACTCCGGAGACGGTGTGTAATCTGACGGCACATCCTCGAATACGAAGCCCGCAACGTCGATATTGTCCGCCCAGTCCTTCGGCTTCGGGAGGAGTCTCGGCGACTAGAGGTATGTGCAGGGAACGTTCATCCTGTTGTACTGGCTCAGCCACCAGGCGGGAGACATGCTCTCCAGGCCCATTACATTGACGCGGATGTCGTTGATGACGGATTTCATCGTCTCGAGGAACCTTGTCGTAGGTGTGTTAGTTGAACGAACACCTAGTAAGGCCCCCCCTGTCTGAGATACCACTTCGTCGTTCCATAGTCACCCTGATCAAGGAACAAGATACCCCTCCGGAGGCGGAGGGGGCCAGTTGACATAGAACAAAACGTAAAAGAAAAACGAACGAAGAGAAGGAGAAGGGAAAACTCACATAAAATCCTGAACCCACCAAGACAAAACATTCTTCCCCTTACTAGGCCCCTTCAAAGCCCACCCAGCTTGCGAATGCGGCACCTCCTTCGAAAAGATCCTCGGATTCATCCCAAACAAATGCAACGGCACGCCAAGCCTCACCGCCGCAGAGGTCTGGTTATACACATGCATCGTAGACATGATCAAATCCGCCACAAACGCTCCCTTCTCCCCTCCTCCTTCTCCTCCTACTTCTCCCCTTGCACCCTCGCTCTCCTCCCCGTGATCAAACCCAAACCCATCAACACAAGCCCCCCACCACCGCTCCCCCATTTCCCGAAACTCCTCCCGAATAACCGGCACAAGCTTCCCCAGCTCCTTTTGCGGAAGCAACCTCCTCTCCATCATGGTCTTGATGTCCGTCCTGCCGATCCCGTAAAATCCCACACCTTCGGCCTCGACGGCGGCGCGGTACGGCGGGTGGCTCGCGATACGGACGCGGTGGCCGTGGCGGCGCTGTAGGAGTTTTGCGACGGCTAGGGAGGGTTGGAGGTCGCCGCGTGAGCCCATGAAGAGGATGACGATGTTGAGGCGCATCTTGCCCGGCTGAAGACCCGGGTCTGGCGTTGACGTCGGCATGTTTTTGGAGGTTGATGCCGCGGCGCTGGAGTAAGCCTCTTGGTTCAGGCTTTGCTTTCCGAGGGACATGATGACCTAGGATGAAACCCCGCGAATGACAGTGATCGCGTCGTAGTTGAAGCAAGCTCGCCTACTTCTATCCATCAATTTACAATTTTAAAGAATCAAAGGCATAGTGATAATAAGTGACGCGGGTCTTCACGTTGTACGGCCTACGGTCTCTGCTCGGTGATTGCTTCTCCTATTCCTCCGAAATCTTACGTGAGGCGCTAATTAAACCTAGGTTCTTTATTGCAATGGCGCAAGCCAATAAGAAGCCTCAATACACGATTGCCCAGGCTCGGAAATATTTAGGCACCCAGGCTGGACGAAGAAAAACTCCGAAGTTGTAGTCAAATCAGCAACAACCGTCCGGAGGAAACAATCTCGACTTCCGTGTTCATGTCTATCCAGCAGCCCGTGACCCGCAAATTCCACGGGGGGCCGGCCCCGCGATGGTAGTGCGGGTGGTCGCTGGACACAACCCGGGCCTTTGCTTCCGGAAGGGGTGGGGGGCCCTACGGATACTGCGAGTTGTGTTCGGGGAGCTCTCGGCGTCCCATGGAGGCCAGGAAACAACAAAAAAGAGTTGCACATGTCGTCTCTTATTCGGATTCGCCACCTTCATCTTCACTCACGGACCAACCCGCCCTCGTCATCTCTTCAAAAAAACAAAAAGGATGTGTGTGTGTGGTTGTCACAGGTCAATCAAGGCATATGTTCTCTGGTCAGTTTTGTTCTTTTCGCCATACTGGACAGATTCAAAGTTCAGACCGCACGCCGAAAGGTGCCCTGATCCCTGGTCTCTTCAGGCCGCCGATGCGAAGGTAAAGAGGAGAAGAGAAAAGTGAGGTAGGTAGAGGAGCACAGGTAGGTGCGCGATCGGACGTGCCCTCCTTTTGCTTTCTCTCTCTTTCTTCCTCTTGTCTCTTGTGGCCCGACTTCCCGACTTCCCATCTTTTCGGTTTCGCCATCAGACGATGACACATGTGAGACCTTAACGCCGGATGGGAAAGTTGAGAAAGACCGACAGGGAAAAATTGGAGTTACATCTGTCCACCACGTCTGAAGTTTCCTCGGTCGGTTGACGCAAGGGGCAAATGACAATGGAGAGAAAGAGAGGAAAGGTCTGATGGTCTAATGGACAGGCTCTTCTCTCAAACCGTTGCTGTGAGACGCACAGCAACGCTACGACGTTACGACCGACTGACTCGAAAGGGAAACCCGATGTTGTTCTTGTCTCAAGCGGTCGCAATTTCGTTCAAAGGGCTTAGCGAAGGGCACTCCTCGGCTTCCAGAATACGAAAAGAATGAAACAAACGCCGTTGCCCAGAGGCACCGGGGGCCAGACAGTTGTCTTGCGGCTTGTTGTGCTCACGGGCCCTTCGATGGAAGCTCTCAGTCTTCTATATTCGGCAGCGGCGTTTGTCTCAAGGCGCGGATGGAAATTGGAGGATCTTGTGGGGGATGAGATAGCGGCTGAACTGACCGATGGCGGTCCGGTAGATCGAGTTCGCTTGCTCAAGCATTCGGCTCAACATCACGGACGACTGTCTGCCTGCCTGACTCGCTAATCTGCGACCATGCTGGTGGCCGATGGTCACAGTCGATGATGAGCGGACCACAAGAAAACATGAGTTGACTTGTCGTGTCGTGCATGCCGCCATAGCCATGGTCATAAGCCTCATTTGGCATCTGAGGCCTTCAAACACTTTTTTGTGTGCACAATGGCTTTGAGACACGCTTAAAGCCTTCGAGCAACACCGCATGCCGCCGCGCGACTATTGATCAAGGCATTTGCATCCTGTCGAGCCAGGTACGTAAAGAGCACGCAGTAGGCCAGGCGCAACCAGACCAAGGTTGGTTAACCTTAACGTTAGCGGCCTTCCACTGCAGGCACCTGACACGCCTCTGCCGACCGCTCGCACGTACTGGCGCATACGGGCCATGTTGGTCTCGCGGAATATTTTGTGATTCGGGCACCGACGGGGATTAGCAAGGCGCCGCCACTGCAACGTATGTGTAATGGCGCATGGCCGTAAGCAAAATTTGGGACGGCGTCGGTCCACATCACTTCCAGCGTCGCAGTCGCAAGGAACAGGCCGCTGAAGAATACTCCTCGTCCCCTCGTCGTTCGAACTCTTGGGGCCACCAGAAAGATCCGCGAAGAAGGGAGGGACACCAAAATTGGAGATGGTGTGAAGCTCGTGCTGGCAAATGACAGCGACAAGTGGCAGTGGCTTGGATGAGTGGCACTGGAGTAGGTCCCGAGTCTTTCTTCGTATCATGATGGCATTAGTGCAGAGGATAAAAGTTGAGATGAAACCATTGTAAATCACTCGAGACCGGGGTCCGAGGGTGCAAGCTTGAGAGGTTGTCGCTTCGAGATGATCGGCGCAGGGATATCACCCTGCAGCAGTCCTTGTCAGAGGATGTTGCCTTGGGCTGGCTTTGGAGTTTGGCGGGCTGGTCTGCCGGCGGCCATAGAGGGCCTGGAGACAGCTGAAGCTTGTCTCGTCCGTCCCCGGGTATCTTTGCTCAGAGGCCTCGGGCCCGAGACCGAGGGTAAGGTGTCGAAGGCGAAGGGCTAGGAACAGCACCCACTAATCAAGCCTCTCAGACGAAGACGTGTCGTCCGTAGCTTGATAGCGTCGTAAGGCGGGCAAGCGGTTAAATTTTTCCTGTGTCGTAGGAATGAGAGTAAAAAACTAGATGAAGCTGGTGCCGGTGCTGGTGCCCATGGTTTTCGGGTGCGCCCTGGAGCTAGACCTTGTCGACCCAAGCTTCCGTGGGCCGAGTTTGCGTCGCATCCCTCTCCGTCAACTCATCTTCTTCGCGGAAGCCAAGCTTGAGGCACCTTAGCTGCTACCAAGGCAACTTACTTGAGGCCATGGATAAGGCGCTAGGTGGCACCCATCGTCTTTAGTGGGTGGACTGGCCACGATCTGGCGCATCTCACAACATGTGCGATGGATGCCTATGCTCACCGACTTTCGTCAACGGAGTGTGAAGCAAACTTGGGAGGAGGACGGAAAAGAGTGAGGAAGAGCGAGGGCGAGAGAGAGCGGGAGAGCTAGTCATTGGAGCAGGTCCAGACTTTGGACGGTCAGCAAACAGCTGGCTAGTGTGGGTGGGCTGTTGGTCGCTCAAGTCGGTGATCGGTGATGATGGGCGATGCGATGACACTTGTCAGCTGCTGCTTCTGCTGCTGCTGATGCTTCCGCCAGCAACGGGCAGGATTAGAGACGGTAGCGGAGCGAGTAGAAACACTTCTGGAGCATGCCGCCTTCCGTCAAGCTAGCTCTGAGCCTCTGGAAAGAGAGAAAGAAGCTCGAGACTCTGCATCTGCGGGTGCTTCGGCGTGTCAAGCCAGCGTCTGGTCTTCTGACAATCTCGCATCGCACGCCGATATTGTTCTGGCGTCCATGGCCCCGACGCAAGCTTTGTTTCCCTTTGGACGTTTTGCGATTGCCGTTTTGTCCTGAGTAAAACTGAAAAGGCTCGGAGTGCCATAGCTGGAGGCGTGTGGAATCTTAGCCTCCATCTCGCGGACCTTGCAGAATTTGGATCTTTCGTCCCGTGTGCGGTGACCGGAAGTTGAGGTTATCCGCTGCAAGTTGGACGAGATTGGGCAAACCGAGACAACCCTTCACGGTGAAGCGTGAAGGATGATGACCGGGGGTGGTAGGGAGGCGTGAGAAGGTCGGCGGAAGCTGGGGTGACCGTTGAAGGTGTTCCTTAGTCTTTTCGCCCAACGTTCCATTGCTGTCTCCAATGACAAGAGGAGTGGACATCAGCTGAAACATCTGCAGCTTCTTGAGTGGAGACTCAGGACCCACATTCGAACCCAGAAAATCCACACCTTCCTCCTTCTCACCCAAGTCGACAGGGACGTTCCTTTGCTCTTTCATCGCGAATGTGAGGGAAGGAACACAGGAGAAGGAGGGGCAGTGGACGTATTCAGGTCCTTCCGTTAACTGAAGGTTCTCCTTCCTCCAGTTCCTATTTGCACCTGCCCTGCAGAGTACGGATAGTAAGGTACTTTGCCAGGCTTCTCGTCTTGTAAGTTTCCTGTACATTTTTGTCCAGGTTGCTTCCCCTTCACGGTGGCACTAGCTCCGTGGGCTGACTGACTGGGCTGGACTAACGGCAAGACATTTGTGTCATGTCTATTATGGTGAAAGTATCCGTAGAGGAAAGAGGGAGAGAGTGTGTTCGTGTGTGCCTTATGTCCTGTGCACACTTGCGAGGTCTCTAGTGTACGGACAGGTGGGTGGAATGAAGGAATCAATCGACCGATGTGCGGATGGGATGGTCAAAGATGGGACAGATGACATACTGGTTGGTTCTATTGAGAGGGAAATGCCCTGTATCGAGGCATTTTTGTTTGGAGGAAGATGCTAGCTTTTGCCACTGTGGCTGCTGTAAGTCGTAATGGGCTTTTTGCAATATGGCCTTTCATGCCGCGAGACTGCGATTATTCACAATGGGCTTTTCTTGGAAACAACATAATCACTTAGACTCTAGAGTCCGTGGTAGATGTCGTATTACCAGGTGAGTTATTCCTAGCTTCTTGGTCCGTCCCACCTTGTTCAGTTCTCAGGAGACACGTCCAAGTATAGTCACAACCCCTGCACCACTTTGCCCCTCGATTTACTCTATGTACTCCGTACTCCATAGAGAATTCCAGGAAGAGGTATCCGTACTGAGGTATTGTCCCCTGGACAAACGGTGTTCAAGGAGCTTGGCAGAAAAGGGAGCCTCGCCCGGCCCAACTCCGTTTTGTGACCCTCGTGAGTCTTTTCAGCTACCTGATGGACATTTGGGAAGATCCAGAGAGAAGAGACGTCACTTTCTCAGGCACCAAACTCCAAGGCCCACGGGTGCCTCCCTGATGTGGATGCGACGTATTGGTACCTTAGACATGGAGACGATGGATGACGGACGGCGGGCGCCGGCCCACGGAAGGAGACGTCCCACGTCTTGTCGTCCCACCACTGCCCGGCCCCCAAAAGGATGGAAGGCAAGAACCTACCTACCTATGTGCCTACCCGGTATGTACGTAGTAGAGGGGTTGGACTTGGCAGGCCGCCGCGGGAATGCTGCGGGAGAAAGTAGCCTCTTCCACCCGGTTCGACCCTCGTAGCCCGATTATGATTCGACCTCGTCTAGTGTATTTGTACAGAGTATCCGTACGTTGTGTGTTAATCATGTATCCGAACGGATTCTAACGAGTATCCGTACGCCGTATCTGTTCTCTCCATCTTACCCGGTCATTTTTGTCACTTGTAAAGTTGTGAGTCCCAACTCAATCTTCGACCCATCAGCCAAGCCACGGCACCACTTCGACATGGACCAGCGCGCTAAAATCCCCCTTCGAAGCTTCGACGAGGAAGTTCGCACCAGCATTTGAGCCGGGGCCTCGACATGAACATGCCATGCCATGCCCATGGACTTCAACCTCAACTTCGACCTGGACTCCTTGGCCTAGTATCCGCCACACACGACTTTGAGTTGGTACAGGAGCTGGATTGGAGTCTGAACTTCACCTCATGCAGCACAATGGAACCTATCTGATTCTCTGGTGGCCCCCTCCCCATCCTCCATCCCCCCGCCGTCCGTAAACTCATCTACTTACAACATTCGTACCTTAGAGAGTACTTTTGTGCGGATACGCAGCAAAACCATCTACTTACGACACACACCCTTCCCATCAATCCATGAAGCACCCGGCACCCTTCAAGTCCGACTACACTAGCGTCTTTGGGTTCCCTCGACCGTCGACATATCCCGGATCGATCCAAGCCCATTTCTGCTCATCTCGAGGCTTTGGACTCTGGCAGTGCATCGGAGCCTCCTCCTTTGCCCGGCTCCCTCCCTCCCTTCCGTCCCTTCATCCCCTCCTCCATGGAAAGCTGACTACATGCCACCGCAACCATGATCCATCACTGCCGCTGCGATACGACGCCATCCAGCATCCGGGCTACCCTATCCCATCCCATGCTGCCCGTCACTACTTCGAAGCATCTCGATATCCCGGCTTGCAGCAACCCCGTCTTGAAACGTGGAGGCAGATTCCCATGGGCCAATCGCAAATCGCACATTCGCACCCCCGGTATGCCCACCATGGATCGTCCGCCGACTACGTATCGAGATGGCCAAACTTGTCCCTTGTCGCCGCCGTCCTACTATACACCTCTATGCGGCACCTGGCCTCGCGACTGCCACACTATGCGATACCCTGCAGCACATCAACCCGCATCGCGCTGACGACGGCTTCCAACCCGCTCGTCTTCATGTCGCCCTATCTTTCATATACTGCCACGTACCGATACGGGTACCATTAGTCCTTAATATCTGACGCGCCTGCCTCTGCTTAGTAGCCTACTGTACTTGACGGAATAGCCTGCAGAAACGGTACGGCATCCTATTGCACTGATCGGTCGTCGTCAGAGTCTTGTCGTTACGGACGAGCTGACGATTCTCGCAAGCTCTCACACCATGTGCTGCTACGGAGTAGAAGGGTGGGTGACCCAATGCTTCGTCTCGTCTTGCGTAGTGTCTAGTTGGCTGCACTACGTTGCCGCAGGGGCCATGATCCTTGCTGTCCGAAGGCCAATGGCAGTTTGGCAGCACGCGACTGAGAGATGCCGTCCCATGGAGCTTAGAGCTGCCAAAAAAGACGACGACATCACAGCCATTCAGGGCTATGCTCATAATTAAGAATCCCTTGCGATGCGGAAGGGGGGTCTTTGAACAGCCGCGCCATCTTGAGTACTGATCCTGGACGTTAGCAAAACGAGGCATATGCACATGCGTCCCGATGTGCAACTGTGACGAAAACCAGACACCCATCACCTGCAGTCAACAAGCAGCCGCCTAGAGCAGCAACCTGCCTGTGGTTCGTGCTGGATTGGATGGTGAAGCAAATGGGAGTTGTCCGTCTCCCGCCAGTTCGTACACTTCATCCGCCGATGCGATGCGCTAAGATGCATTGTCTGTTGTCAAGGACCGGCTCCACGTTCTAAGCCTCGGAAGTGTCAGCAGCACAGAGCAAAGTAGCACTCGAAATGGCTTCAGAAGAAGCAGCACGAGAAAGAAAAGAAACAGAACCACCGCAAACACTCGAGCAACCAGCCATTACAGCACACGGACCTCATTACCTCGTGTTATGAAGTGAGATGGATGGAAGGTCACAGACAGCAGAGACGTTTTCTACGGCGGAAGCACGGGCTGGCGTCACATCTAGTGGCAGTCGAGAAGTTGAGACAGGCCCAAGGGTTGCCATTCGCCAAACAGATTACCGCAGAAGTCAACCTGGAAGCTCAGCTCCAAGGCCCGCACCCTCCTCCTCCTCCTCCCCTTGGACTGGACTGGTACCACCCAGCCCCCGAATCTCCGTCAGATTAGAGTCGGTCTCTTCTCTCTGTCCCAAACAACCAAGGCACCGCGTGGCTGCAGCGCCGTTGGATATTGCAACCGCAACACATGCACAAAGCACACAACACAATAGTGACAAAGGAAGCACTAGGCCGTTGGCGCGGCCTACCGTTTACCGCCTATCGCCTCTCCCTCCCGGCCGCCCTGTGGCTTCTTTTGGTGCGCCCAGCCATGTGGTTTTGCTGGCCTCATCTGGTCGCTTGCATCTATCCAACCCGTCTTGACGGTATCACTCAATCGCCGCCCAATCGACATACATCTCATTGCCAAGGGGGTCATGACAGCCAAAACACGCTCCATGCCGTGGCCACCGAGCGACATGGGCAAAACAATTGCGCCCCGGCACTCGCTTCGGCTTCTCCCGACCGACTGAACATTTCACCTGCACATGCCCGAGGTCTGGTGCGTGCTCAGGGAATTCGGCCCCCTCCTCCCTCTCACACTCACCTCTCTAGCCCACGGTCAGATACCAATCCGGTCAGAGATGGCATACCTGAGCCCTTGTCCCCATCCACGGTCCACCCCACCACGGATCCCAGTCTCGTCAAACGAAGCACTTCCTTGACAAGTTTCACGCCCAATCCCGGGTCTCAGCTTGCAGATCGATGGATAATCTGCGCCTCAGGGCCTCCCATTTGCATCAACCGAGCAGCCGCAGCACATCCACCGTAAAGCGACCTAGAAGACAGGCAAGGAGTCATTACACATCCGCGCTTGTTTACGGCGTCTCTGCCGACCTTGAAGTGTGCCAATGGAACGACAAACTTGAGATAGATCCCGTCCGCCCTGCCATGCCTATATCACGTCCATTATATCAGTCGGCTTAACTATTTGTAAATCTAAGCCCTGCCCGGACGTTTCCCCTGCGGAGATCATGGTTCAGACGGAGTATCTGACGCCATGATCTACTACTATCCAATCTGATGCACAAGCAACAAGCACAAGGCCACGGGGAGTCGCCCTAGTCCACCTGCAACAACCAGCACGCCAAGCTCCCACGGCAACCATTCCTCCTCTTCAGAAAAGCATGCAAACCACCTCTCAGTACCGTTCTCACCTGTGCACTCTGCGGTAGCAGGACGATAGTAGGATGATGCCCCCCTCCCCCCGACGACGGACAAGCTACAGGCAGTGCACCCGCACTAGCACAGCACAGCACAGCACAGCACAGCATAATAGGGCCCCGAGCAGCAGATATGAAAGCTGCCGCTTCTCAAGCCAGTTACACAAATCACCTCAACCCAAGACAATGGACCCCCTGTCCCTGGAAGTGGACGTGGACCCTCGTCGAGACCAGCGGCCAGTCGGGGGCTTTTCTTCCCACCGGCGCGCCCAAACCTACTGTGGGGAAGTCTAAACAACGACGACATCCCTTCCCCTTCAACGCATAATGCCCAGCATCCTTGCGTTGCCGCAAGTGGAAACTCTGATCAGATTCACTAGCTCTCCCACTCTTCTCTTGCACAGTGATCATGCTGGCTCCCGTTGCGAGCCTCCTCTCTGTCCCCAATCTTTTCCTCCGATGCTTGCTCGCGGCTTTCGGGCCTTGCCCCTAGCCTAGTCGTCGGTCGTGGTTGTTGGACTTGGGGGCCCTGACCTGACAGACTGCAACTGGGCTCGGTCCAGCCATGTCGTCGTCCTCGTCGTCGTCTGCTTCTTCTTCCATGTACCCATCTCAAGCGTATTGGACCTAGTCATGACATTCGAAGCTGTTGCTGCTTCTGTTGTGACCGTCTCTACACCCTCCACCCGGATTCCTAAACAGCTACCGTCTTCAACCCCTACCGTCCCTTCATGCGTTCTCAGCACAGCCCTACTTCACTTGTGTCCCTGACCCCCCGGGCTCGTCCCCGTCTCTCGCTGACCATTCGTCCTATCTTTTGTTTCTTCTTCTTGGCCTTTCCGAACACTGGCCTTGAACTCCCCCTTCTCATTTCACCATCATCCGCATCTGTCTGAAGCCTGCCAAAATCTGTCACTATTTGGTTTATGTCGAGGTTGGCGTGTGCCTCATCCATGGCATGATAGTGCTTGCGCTCCCGAAACGAAACTTTGACGAACTTCGCCGAGCCTCTGGCCGTTGTTGACAAGTACTCCCCGAGGAAACGAACCTCGATTCAAATTCAACCTTGGGATTGGAATTCTCTTTTCACTCTTCTCGAAGCACGAGATCACGACGTTTGGGAAAGAGCCTCGCATTCGGAGTATCAGGAATCTAGGGAAGCGGCACCAGCGTTCGGCAAGCCACTCTCGCGTGTCTGCACGACGTCTCCTTCTTTGACACTGCCACCCATCAACCCCTTGATCGTACAGCCTTGGGACCTCAGCTGCGGTACGAGGAAGTCACTGTTTCCTCTGCTCTGTTTCTCTCGGTTCGAGGTCGATCCGACATCTGCGAACTGCCAGGGCGTGTTCAAGCTGAGAGGTGTTAAAACTCTTTCGGATGACCCTTCAAGTACACCACTGGGCGACTTGAAGGTGTTTCGGCTGTTTCAATCCGCTTTTGGAACTGTCAGTGCGACTCTGAAACGGCGATCCCAACGATAGGTCTGATATTCTTATCGTTTGCTTCTTAACTTGTCATCACCTCCTGTACTACCCCTTCCCTTCCCTCGTTGCCTCCCCGCCTCCCGGGCGCCACACACAAAAGCTTTGGGATCTCCCATCAACCTTATCGCTTCCCTACGCTTCTTCCCACCACTGTCACCTTACCTACCTGTCCCCCTAGTTGTGCGACCTTCGCAACCTGGGTTTAACAGACGACGAGTATCCGATGTATCGGACTGGATCCTAGAGATCGGACATTATCTTCTCACCAACAACTATCATCAACAACAAGAGACAGGTTCTCGACAACTGGACTGGGGATTACAAGTTGAACTACTACGAACTGAATATCAAGACATCGGGCGGACGCACAAGAAGGAGCATTCAGGGACATAGAAAACGACATCACCCCGAGGGACCGCCAAACTGGATTCGTTTCGGCGACAAAACTTCTCCCACGTTGTCCGCGCTTGAGCGATGGACGTGACATCACTACTGAACGTAGCGGCGGGAAAAAAGCCATTTATTCGGGACAACTCACTCGAAACTACCTCTGTACCAATCTTCCAAAGACAAAACACCACATCGTCCCCGGAGAAGACACTTTCTTCTAGGCGGACAAGCGACGTTAGAGCACCGCGGAACCGCACGCCATGGGATGCGGGCGGTTACTCTCTTCATCTAGCTCTTGACAACAAGTTTCCTGCCTCCCACACCAAGCCTACCTACTACAGCGAATCCGACGTGGATCAGTCGACCTCGACGAGCTCCTACGACGTCCCTTCATCGAGCTGCCATTCTAGGGCCAGCTCTCTCAGTTCTCTGGCACACGAGATGGCGCATTCCGCCAACATCACTCCAATGACGACTACACACCCTGGCCGGTACGTATTTGTTGGTTCCCTTCTTGGCGGCGCAACGCTGGAGCACTTGTGTATTTGAACGATCCGGTCGACTGACTCCCTCACGAAGTCTGGCATACCTAGGCGAGCCAGAGTCGCAACTCCATGTTGCGACTAGCCGAAGGTGAGCCAGCTTGGGAGGCTGTTTACGCCCCTGACATGCCCTTGTCCACCATCGTTCGTATGAGTTCTTGGCTAACGTTCCCCAAGGCCTAGCATTTCCGGTGATTCGGATGCTCAATTAACGGCACGGTAAGTGACTCGCGCGATCTCTCCTGCGTTTACGCTGGCTTGAGATCTCTTCTCGCCGTAATCGTTGTCTTTCCCCGAAACCCTCTCGCTTGACGTACAAGCGTCACGATCTAGGCGAAAGATGCTGCCTCGTTACATCTGTAGATTCTGACTTCGTCCAGGCCCAACCTCCCCCGCGAAGATGACGGACACCACGTTACGGGAGGTTTTCCCAAGTCCCCGAAACACAAGTTCTCCGACAGCCACAGCAGTTTGTCATCGTATACTTCATCAAATCAATCCGGAGGGCACTCGAGGATATCCTCATTATCTACTGTAAGCGGCATTCAGCCATTTACATCTCTGTTGAACGATGTGCCGGCCTTCGACACCAAACTCGATCATCAGCAGGGAATCGGTGGCACGGGCATGATTGATGTTCAGCCCCCGTCACCGCGAACAATGGGTCAGCATGACCCAGTGGCCTTGGATCCCGCAATGAAGGGAACTGGGCGACCGGGTAGTCCGTCGGATGCAATTCTGATCACCCGAGGCATGGGTGGCAGTAATCGATCAAGTCCAACTGATGGTTTGAGGTACGTGATATGCGCTGCGTGACTTACTCCCTTCCAATACTACTCTCAATCTCATCAACATTGGGTCTGGGAGGAGATGTCGAGAAAGATTTGTTTGGATCGCATTGTACCGAACGCTCTTTCCCATCATCTCTCAGCTCGATCGCACCTTCCTCTTAAATCACTTTATTGTTTTTATTTCACTTCACCTTTCTTAGCTCCATTTCACCCTCGTCTTTCACTTCACGATATCTTCAACTTCACGTGAATCAATTTTACGTGAATAGCGATCCCACACGTGACCAGACCGATCGCTCCTTCCCTTTCATCTGGGTGTGAATCGATTCTGCGGTCTGAAGGAGGCCTCGTGATTTACATCAAAGTTCCCTTCCACCGCCTTGAGACCGCCTTAGGAGGGTCACGATACTCCTCCTTTCCCTAGCCTATTTAAATCACCGTTCGCAGACTCAATCCTTCTTCCTCCGTTCCCTCCACTATACAACTCCTCTGTTCTTCCTCCAAACAAACAATCTTTCGTTACTTCTACTTCCTCCCAAACAATTCAGACAGCTCAACATTAATTAAATTCTCTTGCGAGCTGGACTCTTTACTGATCACATCGAGCAATAGCCCTCACTCAAAACAACAACAAGACAGCCTAAATTACCTATCATTACCGCAAGATCAATCGTCAAGAACCCATAAGCGAGCTGTGTCTGCGCCCGACTTTGCCGCTATTTCTGCGCCTACCTTCCAACCTTTCCCTTCAGTATCAGAGACAGCGCCTTTCCCACCGCAACAGCAGCAACCTTACGGTATGTCGCCTCCCGATTCTCCCCCTGCTGTCTCGGGCAGCGACGAGATCAAGTGTATGTACATCGAGAACTGCGACACTGGATCTCAGCCTCGCAAGGCCATCTCGCACATCTTTGGTCGCAACAAGCTCTGCACCCGCATGATTCCAGCCCACGTCTGGGTTCACTTCTGCCGCAAGCACTACCAGCGAAGCCGTTACCGCAACGCCCATGAGTACTCAAAGCTCCAGGTCGATCTCGTCCAGAAGCAGATCGCCAGAGTTCAGCAGTGGAGCGATGAGAATGAGAGAGCCGGCAAGGCAGGTGTGGTGAACAGCTGGTCTCTTGCAATTCGCAAGCGAGAGCAGAAGCGACTGGAAGACAAGAAGGAGTCGAAGAAGCGCGCCTACCAGGATGAGTCCGAGGACGAGCAGCTCGACGGTGCTATGCTCAACGGCACTGCCGTCCCCGAATGGCTCCTCAGCAAGTGCGGTGCTGGATACACCACTGTTGCTATTCAGGAGATTGTAGCGCAGCTGAAGACCGAGATCGACGGAGGCAGCTTGAGTCAGATCCCTGATATTGAGATTCTCCCTACCATCAGCAGCGACGGCCCTGATGAGAAGCCCAAGACCTACCTTAAGCGCAAGACGAGCGGCGGCGCTGCTCACAAGCGTTCTCAGTCGATGGGTGTCGCTCTGAGACCCGAGGCGATGCCTATGGCCAGACGTGTCAGCCAGCCCAACGCCTACTGGGGCCATGACAGTAACAATTCCTTCTCGCTCGCAAATCGGGTCCAAAATACTGACATCTCTCTAGCCGGCTTCTATGAGGATCGCAACGCGATTCCTGGCATGCCCCGAGTTTCGTCTGGTATGCGTCGCATGAACATCCCGCACCGTCCCGCCTTTGGTAACATCCGTGAGAACCACCCTGAGGAGGATTACTATCGCCAGCCTCAGATGGGTTCCGGTCCCTTCATCTTTGGTGCCGGTGGCCCTCAAGGCGGACCTCTTCCCGCCCCGACTCCCCAGCGTCGCGGCAGCAAGTCCATGGCTTCTCACCTCGAGACCTCCACTACCATGCCTGCCTATCCTGATCCTCGCCGGGCATTCCACCAGCGATCTCAAAGCGAGATTGGAGGAGGTTTCCACCAGGGACAAGCTACCACCTACCGACCCAACTCCTCCTCGGGCTTCGCTCCTTACGGATACGCCCCCAACCCGGTAGACCAGCAGCAGCAGCAACAGCAGCCGCAAGACCAGTACGATGGCACCTACCCTCGTCCTCACGACAACCCGTTCGCCCAGGCCGCTCAGCCCAACTACTATGAGGATCCTCAGCGGCAGTATGCCTACGGCGCTTCTCCATTCCAGCCCAATCCTGCGTCTCGCCTGGGTCCTGTCGGCGCCAACAGACACACCCGTCACCAGAGCACTCCGAACGCACCCCGTGCCATGCACCGCGCTCCCTCTGCGCACGGTTTCGCGGTTGCCCCGAACCAGCAGGGCTATGATCGGACTCCCGAGCACTCGCGCCATTCCTCCTACGCCACCCCGCCTATGCAGCCCATGCAACCCATGCAGCCCATGAATGATGGCACCCGTCACTGATTGGGACAATCCGAGACCGAGACAAGAAACAAGCACTCTTTTGAAACGGCCTTCCTTATACCCGCATTTATGTCACGTCGACACGGCATCAAAATCGGAGTCAACATTGGGGGACGGCAAGCGGTCATTTGGTTTTCCTATTACACTTCTCTTTCTTTAATTATCTCTCTCTTTTCCTTCTCTCGTTGCACGGCCAATTTTGCATGAGGAATGGCGGAAAATGAAATTCGCATTGTACACCACGGACTTTCTTTTATATCTCTCTCTCGGCAAGGGCTTGGCCGCGTGCCTGCCGGCCGCCCTGGCAACGATCGAATGATGGATGACTGGACATCGCACGGATCAACGGCACATGCTTGACACAAGCAAACTCGGGGGTCGGTTTTGGGTTTCTTTTTTTAGAAAGTCCTAGATGGGAGGGCAACTTTCGCTATCCTCGACTTTGCTTCTCTGGCATGGTCGACTCGGAAGCAAACGAGACGACTTGGGTGGCATTAGGGAGTGGAACTGGCATTTGTACGAATACGGACGGAGGCTGTCGGCGGCCTGGGGTTTCTCTGGCGGATGGACGGATGGGAGGGATTTGGTTTGGGATTCATTACGGACCTGAAAAATGGCGTTGGCTTTTTCGCTTCTTGGGCTTTTCTTATTCTTCCTTTTTTTCTTCCCCAGACGCGTTTTCTTTCCGCTTCTACACCCGTCTCCTTGCTTTCCTGCATATTTGACTTTCATCTCTGGTCATTCTTGCGGAAAGGTTTCCCTTTTCTTTTTTCTTCTTTCCTACCTGGATTCTTCTCACGCCTTGCGACAACCGCCTTTCAACTCATGATCGGCTTAGTCATGGGGGCATCGAGAGTCGTTGGTAGCAAGGGATTAAGATCTGAAGAGGAATTGGAGATGATGGAGAGGAGACTGGAATGAGCGACGCGCAAGCAAAAACTTTCCTTGAACTTGTTGATAACGCTTCGTCTTGCAAGGGCTTTGAACGCTTAGATAGCTCAGCCTAATGAAATACGCAGTTAAGCTAAAAAGAATATCTCTCTGACTTTGTGAAGTAGGTGATGACCCAAAGATGAAGATAACAATGGAAGGAATTTGTGATCCTTACTGCCTCGTTTCTTGATGAGGAATGGCGTCGATTCGACAGCTTTGAACGGACTCAAGTCAGCCTTCATTTAGCACACTTGACATTTTGGCAATGTTCCATCCTAGTAGTGAGCCTGCCTTGACTGGTCCTTGACAGGAGTTCCCTCCTTTTGCCTAATACGCCTCTGAAGACTGTCTCTTACTCGTAAATGAAACAGCTAGTTAAGTGATACGAAAGGCCCTGATCTGAGATATCTCCCTCTCCTCGTCACCCACAACAGAGCATCACATGTACTCTTCGAGAACCACGCCGGTCGGGTTGATAATCAATGAAAAGCTCAAACGAGCTTCTGGAAAGAGTAAAGTTACCCCAAAGAAACTCACAGGGACTCAAAACACTAGTCATCATTTGGAAGAAGTAGAGTGCTACAAGGGACTATCGCAAGCCCGCCACTACAGTAAAGACTCGATGGACCCAAATTCTCAAGAGTCTTGGTTTCCCAGTCTCAGCATACCATCAACAGATACACACTCTGAGGTATGCTGCTTCTAGGAGAGCGAGCCTGGTTGGGAGGTTTAGTTCATACAGGATACGTCACTTACAGCAGTGGCACCTGTACCAAGTTGGGAATAGGATGAGTATAATTTCGTCTTCTACGTGGTCCCTTTTGCTTTTCTTGACTTTCTACCGAAGCGCGGGGAAGTACTCATGTATTGCCAATCAGCGTGGTCATCTACTCTTTTCCTTCCGGCACCTCTAAGATTCCGCACCTGAAACGAGAGCAATTCTCAGTCCTCTTTGGATATGAGGAAGTCAGTACCCCCAATACGATATCTATCTCTGCGTATCTCATCTTCATATCACACTGACAGGAAGTAGGCGTACAAGCCTCCGACCGCTAACCCCCAGAGCCCATATCCCGTCTCTCCTAGAATGTATAGAGGCTCCCTCTCTACTCCCTAAACATAATCGACCCGCCATCCCACTCCGCAAGCCTCCCCACATTCGCCCGCCCCTTGACGACAAACCCAAGCCTCTCATAAAACGGCTCAACCCCGACAAGCCCGATAAGCCACGCCGGCACGCCCTCCTTGTCCACCTGTGCCAACCCCTCCCGCACAAGCAGCGACCCGAACCCGTTCCCCTGGTCTCCGGGCGCCACCGCCAGCGTCGAGAGGTACCACGCCGTCTTACGCGCCGGGTGTTCCGGGTCCTGCGTCAGCACGTCCGAGGCAATATGCGTGTCGTCAAAGATGGTGCGCATCTCCGGGTCAAGAGACCTCGCGGGCCAGAGGTAGTCCGTCAAAGAGTTGATACCAAGCAAGATGGGCTTCAGCCAGCCGCGGAGGGTAAATAGACCTTCGGTGGCGGACTTCTCGGCCGGGGTGGGGTAGGAGCGGCGCCACCAGCTGAACGCGGCGACACGCTCGCCCGAGGCCGACTCGGGATCCGGGACAGTGAGAACGTGAAAGAGCTGCTGCTCAGGGCCCCAGTAGCGGGCGTAGAAGTAGCGGTGGGCGGCGGCGCGCCAGTCCTCGGGGAACTCACGGCGTCGGGGGTGCATTTTGTCAACGGCCCAGTCGTCGCCAAAGGCGGCCATGTAGACGTCTACAATGGCAGCCGTGTCGGCAGAGGTTCCTGGGCGGATGCGGAATTGTGGCTTAGACATCATTGCGTTATCGTGAGACTTGTTGAGAACCTCCAAATTTGTCAGTCAAGTCTTTGATAAGATTATGGGAATATACATGTAGTGTCGAGCGGGTGGTTTTGAAAGTCCGGCGGGAGGCCGAAGCCGAAGCCGATACGGATAAAAGTGGAAACAGGACTTACAGACGATGCGGTACTATCATTCAACTGGCCAATGAGAGCCGGGAAGAATGACACAATCCGGTAGCTAGATGGGTTGATGAGCAAGAGAGAGGAATGTCCTATGCCCTGTTCTGTTTGTACAGGTCTTCTGGAAGATAGAATGAGTCAGGATAAGTCGACATAGCCCGCATGCACATTCACAGGAAACGTCTCGATTTGAAGGTCTTCGGTGTGTCATCTCAAGGGCGAGAGAGTTGGTTCCTTGGCTTGTTGGCACTAAACCGAATGACTCAACCGGGGAGCACGCGACGCGGGGAACTGCTCCAAAAGTTCCTGCATCTGCAGGGGAATAGCCTTGGGCATTGCATGTTTGATCCCAGTCATGGTCTTTCGGAGCTGGTCCGGCATAACGCGTCGGCTCGGCCACCAACATCCCGATGCGGAGACCGGTCTGCCGAGGACGCGGCCGAAGCAGGCCACACACCTGTCGGTCGAATACCTACCTTACAGAACGTTGCCCCGGGCCGAGGATCGCGGAGGTCATCGGATACAAGTGGAGCTTGCCCTTCAACACCAACTTGTTATGTACCGGACGCCATGTTCAGAATTTTTGGCCCCCGAAGAGCTGCACGTCGCTCAAGAGGATGGGGGCAGGATTTGGATCCCTGGTGAAAGACTGATGTCCCGTCGACGTGGACACGGTGCGGCATGGAAATCTGCGGCCGTGAAGCTGACCGACTCTAATCTTGCAGAATCCACGCGGAACAAGCCGTGGCTCCCGTCCCACGGTGGGAAGGGAGGGTAGGAGACGGGACGGTTGGAGAGAAGATGCCCGACTCCGTCGCGGCCGACTCCCAGAGACTTGGATTTAACCGTTTTGTTGCCTCTAGTCCGTTCCCATAAGCCGTAAGGCGGGCTCGAGGTCGTCCGCGCGACCAATCGTCGACGTCGAGAGGGATCTGGTCACAACAAGAGCGGCAATGGTGGAAGGTTGGCCATGGGTTCGAAAGTACCGAAAGAATAGGTACGGGAAATGCCGTGTAACGTCGGATGAGGATTGAGGAGCCGTCACTGGCTTGAATGGCTACTCTGGCCATGGGGTGTCTAAATGAAGAAAGGCATGGGCGCCTTTTCCTGGGCGCCGTGATCTATCATGTCAGCCCTACGTGAGGGGACTGCAGTGAAGGCACATGGGGCTTGCTGACGACTGAAGGTCATGCGTCATGTCATTGCTCAATGATCCCGAACCGGATTCGGAGATTAACAATGGTCGCGGGCGCGCATGCGGTATGTTGCGATGATTCTAGCATGTTTCGATTGGTTCTGGAAGATTGCGAGGTGTCCAGGTTGTCAGACTGCATGGAACTATTTTGTCTATTTTCGTTGTTGGCCTGTCTCACACTGAGACATGGTGCACAAAAGATGTCGATATCCTCTGGCTGCAATCGGTGGTGGATGTTGAGTGTGTCCTTGTTGGTTGACGGAGGTCATGTCCGTTGCGGTGATGGGAGAGGGCGCCACTAGTACGAATGCAGACGACTGTGGATTATGTAAGATATCAAGGGCCTAAGCGCAGCAAGTGACACCTGTGATGATTGGGGCATGTGTGGAGATGGCAGGCAATAATGGGCATCGATCAGGAGGAAGGAGGAGACAAGACTCGGGAAGGAATCACGACAGGTGCCGAGAAAGAATACGTACCGTAGCTTATCTTTCCCATCTCGTCAATCAGGTACCTAAGTCCTGCCTTACCTACTACCTAAGGTAAGGCGTTACCACTACGTGCCTACATCTGTAAGGTAGGTTGTCAAGGACTCAAGTGTCATCTGGAATTTGCCGATGCTGGCTACAAGTCTCGAACCCGGGATTTCGGTATGTACCTTTGGTAGAGATGCAGAGAATGTTTTGTCCCTTGGCCAGAACATTGTGTCTTTGATTGCGAGTGTCAATCAAAAACTGGCAACCCTCGCCTGACCAAGGCCGAGCCAGCGTCAGACATTATTATCCGACGTAGCCGCCACAAGAACGGACTGCTGGGTTGAAAGAAAGGAAATGGAAACAAGCCGGCACTTTGTTGATTGCAACCGTCCTCAATAAGAGCTTGACTGTCGTGACTGCGTACCTATGGCAAAGAGCGAGGCTGCCAAATTGTCCCCCGTTCGCCGTTCTCGTGTTACACATGCATTCATGGGTTGAACAAAGAGAAGAGTGACATGGGCGGCAACATGGATAACATTGAGAACATGATTGAAGATGTGCCCATCTTTAGTGGCCGTCGAATGGTAGGCGGGGCCGGGATTAAGACTGTATCGAGGAAGGATCCGCTTGGGTCGACCTGTCCCCCCTCCATTGCCCCCCTCCATTTGGGCATTTGAGTCCCTTCTTGGCTACAAGAGGCCACTCGCGGAGAGTCTGGACCTGTGGAGCATGCGGCACTAGTAGGGAGCATCGCAGTTGAGAAGACGGCTAGCATTTCGACACTAGTGTTTTCCCGTACGGGTACGCAATAGAAGTACACTGCACTGCGGTAGGTATCCGTGAGGTAAGGTCCCTAGCTTGTGGTTGCTCCTACCTCACCTTAATAATCCTCAGCCCAGCACCAGCTCCAATCCAACAGATCCAAAGATTCCCAAGACCTTCGTCTATCTAGCCTTGCCGTTGCCGTTGCCGTTGCATTCTTTGCCGCTTGCTGTCGTTATTGCCGCTGTCGGCCCTGCATGCATTGATCGGCTGTGCTTAATCAACCTTACGGATAGTCCACTTCACTGTTGCTGTGTTGTCCTTGCCGACAACTATTATCCGCAGAATCGAATTCGTGGTGGGACACATTGGATCCAATTTCTGTTTTCTTTCGACCCTCCCCGGCTCGCACCACCGAAACTCTACTTCCTCCGTCTGTTGCGTCAATTTATCTCCTCGCGCAGTCTGCCCTTTGGCGGCACCCGCGATTCTCTGACTGGAGCTGCGCTGCCTGTTCAGAAACAATCTGAGATAGCGACTCCAAAGACGCACGACATACAGTATGGCGAGACAGGTCCAGCGGCTTGCCGTGACGCCGCCGTCCGAGGATTCTGACAATGTCAATTCGAGCTCGCGTTACACAAGTCGCTTGTCGTCTTCTTCAAGTCACCAGTCTCCAGCAGACGCCCCGCCCCGCGCCCACCGCGCCTGCGAAAAATGCACCAGAACCAAGAAGAAGTGTGACAAAGGTCTGCCCGCTTGCTCGAGATGCACCAGGTGAGTCTTTCTTTCCCTCAAAACGAGTTGTCCTTGCCAAAAATATCCACGCCCAGGTATTCTGACTGACCGTTTAGACTCACCACCAATTGCTGCTATGATTTCGTCGTCAACCCGCCATCCCTTACCATTGTTGATTCACATGGCGCCGCTGGCAATACTTCTTCTTCCAGCGGCGACGCGCGGCCTGCCTTCGACTGGCTCAACCAGGTCGACTTCACTGCCGGGCAGATAATGCAGCTTCTGAACGGGAATGGCATCGACTGGAAAGCTTCCATCAACACCTATTTCAACACTGTCAACACCTGGCTCCTGGTGATTCACCCAGAGATCTGGCAGACACGATGTGCTGCGGCTCAGCTCGACTCCAACCCCAACGATTCTGATATGGCTTTGGTTGTCTTGTGCATCCATCTGTTGACCATTTGGAATTGTGACGAATTTTCGTCCACTGCTATGCTTCATCATCCGCTCTACCAGTCAGCCAAGCGAATATGGACATTGAGAAAAGCCTTCTCGAAGCCTAAAATTGAGCACGTTCAGTGCGGTGTCCTGTTATCGCTGTACGAGTTGGGTCATGGCGACATCACTCGCTGCTATCGCACGTTTGGCGAGGCGGCCTCCATCGGCAAGGTGTTGAATCTCAGACCGGGTAAATACGTCGAAGGAGAAGAGGACCTGGCTGCCGAGCCCGAAGAAGAGCAAATCCGATCTCTTTGGTGGGTTCTTGTGATTATGGACAAGTAAGTGCTTCTTGGTATCACTCTTTAGTGTCTTTGCTGACTTGCCTAGGATCTCCCACGAGCAATCCGCAACGCTTTGGACACCGCTCCAGATGGATATGCCCTCCGACGACGACCTTCTCCCGACAGAACACATTCTTTGGGACAATGACAGAAACGGGCCTATCAAGATGATCAAGCGATACCCTACCACGATCCCAGCATCAGTGCGCGTCGGCGCTTTTCAGAGATCATGCCAGGCTGCCATTCTCCTTGGCTACGCTGTCAACTGGGAGGCCGCGAATGCCGAGATCGAAGAACCTCCGACAGTCTACTCGTTTGTTCAGCTTGAGTCCGCCACGAGGGACCTTATCGAGGCCCTGATTACGCGGTCTGAGACGTGGAGCGAGAATCTAAACACATATGCTCTTTGTTCTAGGTGTGTTGATTATGGCTAATGTGGTTGACAATTTGCTAACACCGCCATAGCTTGTTTTGTCTTCTGTTCTACTCTTTTCTGTATACTGCCAATAGGCCTGGTATGCCTGCCCGGGACCCAGAGACAGATATGGAAATGAAGAAGGCAGTTGCCGGTATCAAATTCACGATTGGTCTCGTGATTGATGGTTCGAACGGTATCTTCAACGCCTACTCAAATCGGGATGACGTTCTGGAACACTGTGCAGCGGTCTGGCCATACGCTCTCTTTCACACAATGCAACTTCTTTTCCATTACGACTCCCTCATAGAAGGAGCAGACACCCTTATGGCGGAAGTCAGGCAGAACGTTGAGAGCACAGCGAAAAGATGGGCCTGTTCTCGTAAGATCCCTGATGCTATGAATGCAAAAAGATATGCTAATCACATGCCTTAGGATGGCTTTTGGAAGAGTTCGACAGGGTCCATGAAGCGAGAAGCACCGGCGTCAAAATGTGCAAAAAGTGAGTATCCCGCAAAAGTCTCGAGCATTTTCCGGAGCTTTAAACGCTGACTTCACTAGATGTACCCTCGGAAATATGACTTGCGGACACTATTCGGCTCCCGAATGAGTTGGAACTCGGCCCCTCGGAAGACCACAAAATT